TCTGTGCTGATATACTTTGAGTTATTATACATGAACTCTGTAAGTGATAATCAATATACTCAGTCATTCTGATTATAATTAACAAAGTATTACAGATACTGTTTTAATATACTCATCAGATATTCTATCTGATCATCTGTCTGTTGATGAAAAGTCATGCTTAGATCTTATAAGATCTTCAGTATAGTTATCAGATCAGATTAGAACTCTTCTACAAAGATTGATTCTCTATCTGAGATAATATTCACAGATAACTCATACAACTGAATCACATCACAGATGAAGATATGAGTTAAATTCTTTGACTTCAAGTTCTTGTAAATGAGTATAAAGTGTGTTATCTTGATGAAGCAATTCACTATCATTAGCACACTGTCAAAGCAGACATCATATATGTTTTTGCTTTCAGAGAGATTCATAAGAACATTCATTTCTAGCTGTTTTCAAGGTTTCTGTGAGATGAGTAGAGAAGTAAGTTCTTTATATAATCTGGACTGCACTACCCGCGAATCCTGATAAATAGTATAAGAATTCACTATCTTCTTCATAAGTTCTTGTATCTTCAGTCAGAAGTATTTCCTTGCAAGCAACTCATGAGTTCTAGTATCTATAAAATGACTCACTAGAGAAGAGTCATGATGCCTTTTAATAAGTTCTATATATAGAAACTCATTTATAGATATATAAATTCAGTTCTCTCTTCATAAGAAATTATTTAAGTCTCTTCAATTCTTTATTTCTGCAGGATTGATCTCTGCTATAAGCAGTTTCTGAATATACTGAGTATATTTATTCTTCAGTTACAGTTCAGATAATCTGAATAGAAGATCTTATAAAGACTTATACTCTGTTTCTTCTTACATCAGGTCTTTCACAGTACTTCTCAAAGCCTGCAAACTCTTCAGATTATAGATACTCTCTTCAAGAATTCTCACAGAGATCTTCAGAGTGTTAACTCTCAGTATTATAGAGAGTAGTTGTACAGGCTTCTTCTCTCTCTTCTCTCTCTTCTCTCATAGAGAATTGAGAGACTCTTCAGTCAATCTCTTTATAATACTCAGTTTGAGTATTCTGTGAAGCTTTTCTGTCTTCTCTAATCTCTCTGTATCTATTACTCTGATCTTCTTAACATAGTCTGATCTGTGAGAGAGTTCATTCACTGAGTTCTTAGTTCTTTTAATATATTCTATCTTGAATCAGAACTCACTCAGTCTCTGAGCTCAGTGAATCTGCTGCTGTGAGAGTTTCTTAATTGAAGTAAACTATTACAAGCTGTTATGATCAGTTCTAACAGTAATCACTATTACAAGGCTCTCAAAGTAGTGATATCAGTAACAGAAGAATTTCACTATTATAAGAAGCTTCTGATCATGAATGTTATAGTTGATCTCTGCAGATTGCATCTTCTGTGAGAAAAAGATCACTGAAACTCAGTTCTCATTTAACTGTAGTTATAAGACTATTTCTGAAATTGTAAAGAAGAAGATATCTGTCTTTAATCTAGTTAGAAGTAAGAGATTAAAGTGAAATAGTATCACTGTGTTCATGAATATCTGTTTCAATCTTATAAAGACTCTGTGAGCTTCTGAGATAAAAAAGTTCTTACAGTTCTTTCTTCTCAACAATCTTTTCATTCTCTATTTATAAAATGACTTCTTCTTGTTTTCATTCTTCAGCATGTCTGTAAGGGCTAAGAAGATTCTCATAAATATAAAGATAAATCATCTATAGAAATTCACAAAGCTCAGAAAGATCTGAATCTCATAAATACTAGTTAACTTCAGTTATGATAGAATAGTCTTAATCTGTAAAGATTTCATCTAAATATCATCTGCAGTGATTACATATTCTAGGAAATTAATTCAGTAGACACTGAAGTTGCACTTTATAAGCTTAATATACAGTTCTGTCTCATCTAAGATCTTTAACACACTTCATACATGCTCAGTGTATTCTTTCTTCTTTATAAAGTACATCATCACATCATTCAGATATATTATTATGAAGACATTCAGATATATATGAAGTATTTTATTGATAAAAGACTGAAATACTGCAGAGATATTAGTCAGATCAAAAGATATCACTAGATATTTAAACAATCTCAATGCAGTTCTAAAGACAGTCTTTTATTCATTCTCAGACTGTATTCACAGCTGTGTATATATATTGATTATATTCAGTTGTATGAATATGACAGCTTCTGTAAGACAGTTAATTACATTCTCAATCAGAGACAGAGAGTAGCAGCTCTTTATTATCTTAAAGTTCAGATCACAGTAGTCTACATATAATCTGAGATCTTCATTCTTCTTCTTCACAAATATTACAGAGACTTCTACAGAGATCTATGAAGATTGAATAAAGTCACTCTTTAGATTCTTCTTCACATAAGTTTACAAGGCCTCTGTTTCATGATGAAAGAGTTTATAGATTAATTCTCAGAAGGATTTCTGCTCTTTTATTAAATTTATTATCAGATTCTTCTCACAGTGAGAAGAAAGCTCAGCTGTCTTAGCTGAGCTGAACATCTCTGTGAGATCTCAGTATTTCTCTGATATCTGAAGCTCAGTTTTCATGACTGTGAGATTCTCAGACACTTACAAAGTTATTATATAGATAAGCTTATCTTCTTTAATTAACTCTACAGCATCAACTGCTTCTATCTCTATAAGTAAGTCTGTTAACACTGATTGAAAGTATAAATCTGACTCATGAACAGCTATGTGCAGATTATGTCTTTAAAGTCATGCAAGTCTCAAATACATGTCATCTGTGATATCTATAATAATCACAGTTTTCACAAATCTTCTTCAGATTCTAGAGAGATCTTATAATTCAAAGATAACTCTTACAAGTCTCTTAGTTCTCAGATCTGAGTTCTCACATTCTACTTATTATAAGAGCAGGTTCTCAGTCTTCATCTTTCAGCTCATTCACTCTATGAGCTTTAGAGACATTACAGTGATCTGAGATTCTGAGTTCATCAATACTTTCTATACTTGTAAGACAGTAGTATTGCAGTGCAGTCTCTCTCTATAAGTAAGTATTTTCATTAGAGAAGTAACAGATTCAGGTGTCAGCTTCAAGATTCTTAAGAAGACTGTTACTGACTCTGTTCATAACTTCTTAAATTTCTATTTTAATTTATCTGAACAGTTTGTATGAAGATGTTCTGATTTAGAATAAATAAAGTAGAGTCTCTTTTTCTTAGTCTTTCTATTATACACTCTATTCACAGAAGCTTATGAAGTTCTTTCTCTCTGCTTAGCAGTCAGATATAAATCTCTCTGTATCTTATCATCTTTTTCTGATAAATCTGTTCTCTGTTATTCTGATTCTTGCAGAGCTGATTAATAATTCACTCTCTGCAGATCTGTGACTCTCACAGTAATCTATAAGTGATGAATAAGAGTTATCAGTTTCTCTAGAGTTAAGAACTTAGAGTCTTACTCAATGAGCTTGTTCTGCATATCTTTATTCAGTCTCTTTATAAATATTATTATTCAGATCTTATTTCAGAGCTCTGTTTTCACAGATCTTAATTTATATTATAATTTTATAAAGCACTGTGAGTAGTCTTTATCAGATTTCTCATCTCTTTTTCTAATATTGATGATTGCAGCTCAGATGTTCTCTGTCTGACTTACAGAGTCTTTTAACTTATTCTCTAGATAGATTTTAAGAACAGATCAGTGAGATCTCTGATAATTATTCTCTAGATAATTCAGTCAGTTCTTGACTTCAGTGTAATAGAGATCTGTTATTATATAGATAACAGCTTCTTCATCTTTCATATCACACAGCTGAGCTTGTAAGTCAATTTTAAATACAAACTTGCAAAAGCTTTTATAGATTGTGATTTAATAGATGATCTTAAGTAATTATAGCTTAAGAAAGTTTCTTTTCAGTTTGCAGATATCTCTGAAGATCATGTCTAGAGACTCAGTTTGAGAATATTTACAGATAGTAAGTATTTCTTATAGAAAAATAGTTTAATCTCACAGAAGATGCTTAAGAATGTTCTTCACTGAGATTAGTTTATTTATAAATTCAGAGAGTTTCTCTGTCTGAGATGCAGAGAATAATATTCTGTGAGTGATTAATAAGTTCTCTGAGACTTCTTTCACAGAGATTATTCATGATTCAGATGACTGCTTCTGAGTATCTGCAGTAGAGTTTGCAGAGATGAGAGCATGCAAGTTTCTAGTTCTTTCAGTTATAACAGATAATTGCTGACTGACTGAGCTTGAAATATAAGAATAAGTGCTCACAGATGATTATTTAGATGTTTGCAGCTTGATATAATATATACTGTTAACTACTAGAAGTGTTCACAGTAGAAAGATAAAATGTAGAAGTTAAATGTATAATAGTATTCAAGCTGAGTTATGAATAGTATTCACAAACTTCAGTCTAAATAGTTGTGTGTAGCCAAGGGCCGCTAGCTCTATTGATTACATGAGAGATAGGAATAGAAGTAAAGAATTCATGAGAAGTGAGATTTCTTACAGAAATGATGTGAAAAATGATCAGATTTAATTCAAGAACAGTGAAATGAGAGTAATTTCTCAGAATAAACTGTGAAAGATGATCATTCTTTCAAAATTAGAATGAGACTGAGACTGAAAATTAAAATCAGTCTCATTCAGTTCATTCTGTTGATGATTACTACACCTACCCTAGTCACGTGCCATCTTAACCTATTTAGTGTAACTCGCGTAGTTAGATTACAACATAATAATGTTATTCTTCAAGAGGTTATGAAGCTCTCTATGCAATGAAAAGCTGCAAAATAATGTGCAATTGACATCTCCACGCGTCGTTACAAGCATGCCTAGATGATTTATTGAGTGATTGAACTCATGATTAATCTAAGATCCGGGGGGACACCTGACTTAACAAAAGAATACATGCCTTCAAGATGGAAAAACAAGAAAATGCCAGAGCAGCAAATGCAAGATCACAGATCACTGCCAACATTAATAACAAATTGAAAGATGGCTCTCAGAGCATTTGAGCTGGACAAAACCATTGCAGAAGAACAGTCTGATGAGTTCAACATATACAAAGACCTGGTTGAAGGCATCATCAGTGAGATGTCAGGCAATGTGAGAGGCTCAAGTGACCAGAACAACAATGGCTCAGTGAGCAAGGAGACTTGTATGAGGCTTGAAATTGCAAGACTTCAGCATGAGGTTGAGTGTATGAAGATCAGTAGAGGTGAGACTCTTGCAAGTGATGAGATGAGAGTGAATCTGGCAGAATACCTTCAATGAAAAGAGAAGACATCTGTTATAATGAAAGTTCTTGAAGAATTCAGAAGCCAAGTAAGACTCATCAAAAGATCAATTGTCCTTACTGAATTCATTAACTTCTCAATGTGAAGAGAGGAAATCCTTTTGACTGCAGAACAGTCTGAAACTGATGATATTCTTGAAGATAATGACCTTGATGAGAATGTCATCATGAACATGCAACATTTCTGAAAAGAATACAATCTTTGATTATACAATTACATGTGGTCTGCAATTGCCCTGTAGACCAAGGCTCATTTCACTATATCAAAGAAATTCAAGTTATCTGCTTATGCTCTATGAACTATTATAGAGAATAACTTTTCTGAGAGGCCTGCTGTCTGTAGAATCTGTCTGTTTGAGAAACTGATTAGCATGACTGCTAAGTCAAAAGGCTCAGATCACACTTTCATTGAACATCTGATTGTTATAAGGACTGATTATATTCATCTAGAATATGAGATCCCAGATGTCATGTTTTTCAACAGACTGCTTACAGGAGTCAACAGAGATTGAGCCTCATTCATAAGGAATCAAATGGATCAAATTGACAAAGATAATACTCAATCCTTAGAGGACGATTTTATGGGCCTGTGCTGTGATATTCTTTTGCGGCTCTCTGCTGCGAATGAAGCAAGTACTGAATCCACAAAAAATCCTGCAAATAATGCTCAAGATTCCAACAGAAAGGATAAAAAGAATAAGGAGAAAGAGAAGGTCTCTGAGGACAAGAACAAAGATTCCACCAAGCCAGATAGAAAGAGTAATAATGCTACCAAAACATGTTACCATTGTCAGAAGATTGGCCACATTCAAACAGATTGCTGGTTGAAATTTTCTGAAAAACACCCTACTAGCCGCGGCAAGGATAAAGACAAGGATGCGGAGAATACAGATGCTGCTCCTGTTCATAATGTCATGAAGCAAGTATTTTGCATCAAAGAAAAGGCCTATGCGAGTGACCAGACAGAAAAAGATACCTGGATTCTAGACTCTGAATCAGGCGCTCACACCACACCTCACAGAGATCTTGTCATGGCAAAACCTCAGAAGGTGAAAGTGATGTTGAAAATGACAGACAGAACAGTGATCCCTGCTGCAGCTATAGAAGATACAAAGATTTCAGTGAAAGGGATGAATATGCTGTTAAATGATGTTCACTATGTCTCAAAGTTAGAAGTGAATCTCATGAGTATGAGTAAGCTCATACATCAGGGTTATATCTATAAGCAGTTGATATATGAGAATAATCATACTATGTTGATTATCTCTCCTGATCACATGTTCTCATTTACAGCAAGATTAAATAAGAATGATATCTATGAGATGAAAAGGCCAGTTACATACAGAGACTTGATTCAGTTTGCTATACTTAATGATGATTTTGAATCTACAAACATGTTACAGGTGAAAGATGACACAATATTGACACTATCTGAAAGGAATGACACAAAGGTTATAGAACTTATGATGATGCAATGACATTAAAAGCTAGAACACCTGAATCCCACAGATATCACAAAAATGATGACAGATTCATGACTAGAAATGAGAATAAAGAGTGACAGAGCTTTGCCATTCTGCAAGACCTGTGTACAAGCAAAAATGACACATTCAATCTTCATATCTATGACACAAGCTGTCAAGCCGGCAATGAGATTCTTCATCAATCTGGCAGAGGGTGGAAAAACACTTTTCAATGAGAATGACACTCTCACTAGAGGGGGTGCAAGCTACTGGTTGAGTATAACAGACGATGCAACCCGCTACAGGTGGATTATTCTTATGATGTCAAAGGGTGAGGTCACTGCGCATTTGATGACCTTTATTGATGGAATTGAGACCACTACTCAACACCGAATTGGAACCCTACACTGAGATGATGAAGAAGAGTTCAAAAGTCAAGAACTTAAGACCTACTGTCAGAGCAAAGAAATAGCATATGAAATGACTACATCTGATACATCACAATCAAATGGCTCAGTGAAATGCATGAATTGAATAGTTACAGAGAAGATAAGAAGCTTGCTATTTAATAGTGAGCTGGTGAAAGAGCTCTGAGATGAGACAATGCAAGCTGCAGTCATGATGATCAATACATTTCCAACATTAACAAAGATATTTGAATGCAAGAAAGAAATATCACTTACATCTTTTGAAGTGTGAACTGAGGTGCAACCTTCTGTTCATTGAATACAGAGATGAGGATGCAAGATCTACAAGAAGAATTTGAAAGTGTCAAATAAGCTTGCGGATAGAACTGATGACAGGGAATAGCAGCTGGTTGAATATCAAGAATTATATCAATATCATATGTGGGATCCTATTACATGTCATCTTAAGATTGCATGAGATGTCATATTTGATGAAGCTCTTGACATGAGTGCAAATACACCTGTAAATACAATGAGAGAATTCAATGAATTGCCTAATGAATTGAACATTCTGAATGTCAGAGAGAGATGACAGCACTGCTTACTATAACATCTTACAAAGAAAAAGTCAGATGTTTTGAAGATGATTGTAAATGAGAACTTAGAGAGTGCAATTGATTCAATCTATCTTCTAGATGATGAGACACAGCTTGTCATGAATGAAGAGTCTGAAGACTCTGTTAATGAGAATGATTCTGTTCTAAGTATTCTGACAGACTGATCAACTACACTGACAGAAGTCAAGAGAAGCTCAGACTGAAACTATTGACATGAAGCAATGAAAAAGAAGATTAAGATATTTGAACAGAAGAAGATATATATTATCATTGAGAAGACTCTGGAAATGAATATTCTTACAGATAAATGAGTATATGATTGAAAATTCAACAATAAGAGAGAAATCATTCACTTTAGAGCTCACTGAGTGATTAAAGAATTCTTGCAACAGCAGAGTATTCATCATACAAGATCATATGCTGTAGTGATATCAGAGCCTACATCACACAGCCTATTTGCTATATCAACTGTCAAAGAATGAAAGGTCAAATTAATTGACTATGTATTCACATTTTTGAATGACATACTATCACAGAACAAGATGATCTATATACAACTGCTCACAGGTGTAAAGCATGACAGAGAGAGCTTGATGAGACTACTTCATCAGAGTCTATATGAAATGAAACAAGCTATGAGAGTATGATATTTTCTAACAACAGAATATCTCATCACATTGAGATTCAAGATATCATCTTATAATGATAAATTTCTATATCACTCTGTTTGCAAGATCTATCTGACATTGCATGTTGATGATTGTCAGATGACAGAACCTCAAGAACAGCAATTAGACTGAGTATTGAGAGAGATCACAAAGAGATTTGAGACAAAGAATGTCAAAGAGATCAAGTCATATCTTGAAATGAAGATTAAACATCAGAGAAATGATGATCTAGTGGTTACACAGAGTCATTATATTGAGAAGATCCTTGAAGATTTCAGCATGAATAAGATAAATCCAGCTGGCATCTCAATGATAATTAGCATATGACTGGAATTCTCACCTGATGAGGAGAAGGGATTGAATGATGACTTTACAGCTACAAGATATCATCAAGAATTGAAATCATTGCAATATTTGATCTCAAGCAGCCAGTCAGACCTGGTGTTCACAGTCAACTATCTCTCATGTTTTAACTCACATTCACACAAGACATGTTGAGCAGTGTTGAAGCATGTCCTACATTATGTCAAGAAGATGAAAAACCATGACATATTATACAGGAAGGAGATCAGTGATGTGAGCCTGAGTTCTGTAGCATACTGTGATTCAGACTGAGCGGGGGTGAATCCTCAATACAAATCAACTACTGACTACATTATATTGATTAACAGGTCATCAATCTCATGGCGGTTGCAGAGACAGACATCTATTACTAAATCAATCACAGAAGCTGAATATATTGCAGCTAGTGAGACAGCTTGTGAGATAATCTGATTGAATGATATGCTATATGACACTGAGTTGATAGATGATGAAAAAGTGAAAATATGCTCACATCTACAAGTTGACAATAAGGGAGCAATTGATCTAGCAAAGAGAGAATTCTTAATGTGAAGGTCACATCACATCAAGATTAGATATCATATTCTCTGCAATTTGATTGAAAAAGAGGAAATCATGATGGAATATATTGATTCTACAGTGAACATAGCTGACGGGCTCATCAAGCTACTGGTGAAGCCTGCATTTGAAGAATTTGTCAAGAGAGTTGGCATTCAGGAAATTGGGAAGAAGGAATGAATGATAATGATGATACAGTGAATCAATGAATTTTGCATGTATTTCTTGATTTTTACAGTTATTGCCGTACGGACGCCTTTCCTAATGAGGAAATCAGGGTCCGATTCATGTAATTAATTATTATTGCATTTTTGAAAGATTTGAGGATGGGGGAGGCCCCGGGTGGCGGCTTATTATAGGCCACGGTGTAGCAAGGGGGGGTGTTGGTGATTACTACATCTACCCTAGTCACGTGCCACCCCAACCTATTTAGTGTAACTCGCGTAGTTAGATTACAACACAATAACGTTATCCTTCAAGACATTCAGTAATTGCTTATATAATCAGAATTTAATAACAATTATTGATAACACTTATGAAATAACTAAATACATTCTTATACAAGTTTATTCTTCACTTTCTTATGAAAACTACACTTCTCTGATATACTGTGATCAGAGGTATTAAACTGTCTGATAATTTCATATTTTATAATCATGAGTTTCTTGATTATTTCTTCTTATAATTGTTCTCAGTAATAGTGATAAATATCTTGACTTGAGTTAAACTTTTACTTTATTCTCATCTCTGTTAATGAAATTATCAGAATATCACACATTATCAGTGTAACAGTTGAATATATACTCTCAACAATTTTTCACAACTCTAGAATTGATTTAATGTGTAAATTTATCAGATTATCTTGAAGATAGTGATTAAATTCAGTTTTATAAGTATGTAGTTTTATCTGATTTTCAGTTATAATCAATATATACAAGTTCTGTTTCAAAGTTAGTATTATAGTTCTATGAGATATGAAGTATTATCAAAGATTGTTACTTACTAGAGAATTATATTTCACTATCTTTATATCTTGAATATCTGCTTATTTAAATCTCTGATAGTTGATATTGTAGTAGTCTCAGACTAATTTAATATATAAGTCTTATTTCTTCTCTGTTCAATCTTGAGAAGTGTAGATATTAACTTGATGAAAGAGATCTAGTAGAGCTGCTACAGTATAGTACTCTGCAAAAGATTGTTTAGTTTTGCTGTAGTAATATGTCAGTTTATTTCTTACAGTAATAATAGCCTGTACTATAGCATTATCTCAGACTGAATTTCTTTTTAAGTGATTCAACTGCTTCTTAAGATGAGTAAATAAACTGTTATACATTCATCAGACTGACTGCAGTATTGATATATGAGTGATTGAGACTGTCTTTATTATCTTATAAAACTGAAACAGTAAATTAATCACATATTTCAACTGAGTTTACTTTATATTAGAAAGTTTCAATATCTGAATGTTTTTCTGATCAGAGTGTTGCACTCAATGATTAATTATCTGATATAATTGAAGAGTCTGAATAGTTATCTTATATATTGAACTTCACTATATTCTAACATTCTGTATCATATTCAGTGATGTGACTGATTTATTTATTTATTGAATATCATGAAATCATTCTTATTATTTAGAGAAGATATAAATCATATTAATAATGTTTTGAATCTATGATATTTAAATTATTAGTTAATCTATTCAAAATTAACAGTAGTGTTATTAAAAAGTATTATTAAAAAACAATATTAAAAAGTGTTATTAAAAAATATTATCTTTTGTAAAGTGAATATAAAAGTTACTTGAGTAATCACTTTCATCTTATTCTCATCTCAAGAATCAGTCATCTCATTATTCTTTATCTTGATATTAAGATTCTTTATTAGTGTTTATGTCACAAGTTAAATCATATAAGTAATACAGAGAATATGACCTTATTTATTATTTCAGAAATGCAAAGCTAATTTTTGCTTTAAGCTCTTTATTATAGTGTAGTTATTCACAGTATTATCAGTTGTAATTATAAGAAGACTGAAACTAATATTCTAATAGTTATTTTTAATCACAGTTATTAATATCTCTATTATATAATTCTTAGTATGACTACTGATCAATGATTTAAATTCAATTAATATCTCTTGATAAGTTCAGTTCTCATCAATGTAATAACATATAACTCTTATAAATATAAGATTATTTATACTAGTTCATACATTCACTGTGAAAGACACTTTTTGATGATTCTTCAACTCTGATTCTAGATATTATATATTGACTTTGTAATGTATCTTGAGATTGAACTGATGACAGAATTGATGTAGAATATAAAGATTTGAATTAAGTATTTGAAAAAGTGTTCAGAATTCAGAGTTTTCAATTGATTGAAGAGAAAGATTCAGAGATATAAATATATGAAGTAATTGTTCATGAAAGTTATCAGATGAAAGTTATGAAATCAGAGTACTGATATATAATTATTTTCACATAATTTTCTTCAAATTAGAAAGTTAGTGTTATTAAAAATCATTATCTAATAGAGTAACTTATCAGCTCAGTAGTAATTTTCTAATTATTTTTCTTTTATTATCTACATTCTGATGACTTCAGATGTTGAGAAATTTCTTCAGAGCTATAATCAGTTTATAATGAATGTTTCTGAATGAAGTTACAGTGATTGTAGCAGAGAGATAACTCTTCAGTAATCTGTAATACAATCTGTTAATAATTATTTCATAGTTTATCTTGATATTTGTGTTGAGTTTTTCATAAATTTCATGACCTGAAATCAGATATGAAGAATGAAGTGATTGTTTATTATAATTAAAAAAGAGCATTCTATGTTGAATTGTAAATAATGTAGACTTTGTAATTCACAGTAATTTCTTAAAGAGTTTATGAATCTTCAATAGAAGTAAAAGAAATGAAAGAAGTGAATTCAGAAGATATAATAATAATTTAAGAAAGATAATAATTTATTTTCAATAACTGATCACTGATGTATGTAAGAAGAATTAATATAAAAGAAAATAATCTTATTTCTTAGCTTAGTTATAATTTTAGTACTAACTCAGATTGAATATCATTAATGTATAAAAGTAAATAAACAATCTTGATTAATCTCTGTCATATTTCTTGAAATATATTAATATTATAAAAGAGAGTGTTATCAAATTATATTATCAGATAATATCATTAAAAAATATATTAATATTATGAATATTAATGTTGAAAAAATGTTGATACTTATATATTATAGTGATTTATGAATCATGATAGTTAAATATATATATATATATATATCATTTCTGACTTGATTACAACTTGTACAATAATTTTTGAAAACTCAAAATTAATTTTAATTATTAATAATTAAAAACTTAAACTTATAACTAACTAATATAAAAAGAAAAAAATCTACTTCTTCTCTTTCTCATTCTTCTTATCATTCTTCATAATTCACTTCTTATTCTTCTTCTTCTTCTTCTTCTTCTCATCTGAAATGATAATTATCTCAAAATCTCTCTTTGCTATCTTCTCAGAGAAGAGTTTCTGCTGCTTCTTCTCAGTCAGATCAATCTGTACTTCAAAATCCTGCATTTTCTGATCTACTGTCTCAGATTTCATCTCAGCAGTAAGCAGATTAACATGCTCAGAGAGCAGAGCTGTCTTCTCAATATTCTGAATCATGAAGTGCATTTGAGATCTGAATAAGATTTCAATCCTCTTCTTCTCTGCCAGCTTCTGCTAATCAATTAGAGAACAGAAGTATTATCAAAAATTATTATCTCTTAATAAATAAAAAACTTATCAGTTTTGACTTCTTTATCTCTTACTTTAATATTCTCTCAATCTTCTTCTACTACTGTTTATTTACAGTAACACTCTTCTTTTCTCTTTCTCTCTTCATCTTGAACTCAAATCATTCTCAGAACTTCTTCTAGTTTCACTGCTACTGCATGAGACTCTTCACTGTCTTCTTCTTCAATCTCTCACAGATGATGTCATCTGTATTATTTCTATACTTAGTTCAGTCTAAATCTATCAGAAGTGTTACTTAAAATTGTTATCATTCTACTTTCTTACAGAGTCTCTTCAAGGCATTATAATATGTCTTGTCATCTGTCTCTTCTTACTTAAACATCTTCTTCTTCTCTTTCTTCAATCTGTAACAGTACTCATGTGTCTTGATAATCTACAGAACTGCAGAATATTTAAAGAGAGATAACATAATGTTTCAGTAAGTATTGAAGAAGAGTGAAGACAGAAGAGACAGTCAGAAATGATATGATAATAATAATAATAGTGATAATAATAATAATGATAATAATGATAATGATAATGATAATAATGATGATGATGATGATAATAATAATGAAAGAGAGAGTGCATTGAAATATATTACTAACTTATCAAATATAAAGAGATAAAGAAAATATTAACAGTTTTCAGAGATATATAAAAACAGCTACAGTATTACATAGCAATATTATCTTTATTCAATGTATGCAGTGTTGATATTCTTTATATACAGTTATTATATAATCTATATCAGAAATACATGCAGAAAACAGATCTTTATTACTAGAAAGAATGATTACAGTGATTCTCTGTTTTCATATTATAAAGATAAGTTATTCTCATTTCTTTCTTCTCTCTTTTCTCTTCTTCTTTAACTCATCACTAAGTTCAAGCTGATATGAAAACTATTAAAACACTCTTAGAAATTCTCAAATTAAAGAGTATAGACTAATCAAATTTTAAATACAGAAGAACTAAATTATATTCAATATTACTAATTATCTATTCTCTCTTAATAAAATCACAGTCATGTCTTTCTCTCTTCTCTTCTCTCAAATAAAATATGACCTGTGAAAAGCAAGTATCACACCAGATTATAATAATTAATACAGCCTCAGTACACAGAGCTGTATATACACAGCACATACTGAACTGAGAGACTGTGTGAGTTACAAACTGATGTCAGTATTCTAGAGAGAGCTGTGCAGTGTGAGAAACCTGTAATTCTCAGTTATATACACAGAGAATGAATTATCACAGTAAGTGTATATACATTGCATGAAAGTAATGCTTTTTGATAATACTCAGTCTCTGATATCATGAAAATAAAGTCTCTCTATGAGATCTGTTTTTATCAGAAGTCAGAGAATATTATATTTCTCAAGACTATCTTGACTCATCTTATTCATGAAATCAATGAAGAGAATCATCAATTTCAGTATTCTACTCTTAATATCATTTAAGTGACAGCAGAGTTCATTCTGATCACACTTTTTAAGTGTATATTTTCTAAATATTCACATTTATACAGATATATACTGATTATTTATTAGATAATATTAAGATAATAACTTATTACAGCTGTGTTATTCTTACTGTGAGAGATACATGATTGATAATAAATATTACAAAGACTCTGAGAAGTGAGTATTTTAAAAGTACTATGACTCTGCAATCTTGATTTTTTTTATTTTTATTTTTTTCTTTTTTTCTTTTTCTTTTCTTTTTTTTTTTCTTTTTCTTTTCTTTTCTTTTTTTTTCTTTCTCTCTTTTTTTTTTTTTTTTTTTTTTTTTTTATTCATTCTGATCTTTTCTTGTTTTTATTTTGTTTTTTATTTTTTGTTTTTTTTTATATTTTATATTTTTTTTATAATTAAAATTATATGAATTATGATCTGTGTTTAGAAAAGTAATAATATTTGATAATACTCTCTATTAAATTTTCAATAAATGAGTACTATATTATGATATTATGTAAGTGAGAAGTGATTTCATAATCTCATTTAATATTATTCTCAATAATGAGATCAGAATGAAAATGTGACTAAGAATTCAAATATATTCTTTATCTGAGACTAGATTTTTATTTGAAAAGTGAATCTGAGATCTTTAATATTTGAAATAATATGATTTGAGATCAATGTAATGAATACAAATTATAATCAGAAGTAATGCTTTTAGACAATGTGATAACTGTAAAGTTTGATTCTGATCTCAGACACAGTCACACGGTCAGTCTATCTATATATAATAATCTATGTTAATAATCTTAACATTATATCTGAAGTTTCTGAGAATGTTGATTAACTAGTGAGTATACTCAGTGAGAAATTGAAAGTCAAGAATCTATATCAATTAACTAAGTATTTAGTTATAAAAGTTAATTATTTCAATAAAGAAATTGAGTTAATATATTATTTATATATTAAATATTATATTGAAGATTTCAATCTTAATAATATAGTTATTATCAAGACTCTGATAAAGAATGAATTTTATATTAATAATTTCTCAATATCTGAGAAAGAAGCTGATTTTATAATTCAGTAATATTAATATAATATAAACTGCTTATAATATCTTGCAGTTAAAACACATTCTGATATCACTTATACAGATACTCTGATTTCATAGTATTCAGTGAAGCAATCTTGTATATCTCTAAGATTCAATGAGACTGAATATATAACTCTTAGTAAGACAGTCTGCAAAGTAATATAAATCTGAAATCTTATAATTAAGCTTGACTTTATTATCATATCTCTGATATGAATTCTCAGTGATAATAAGAGTGTCATGAATCTTACAAAGATGACAGTTATTATAATTAGAAGAAAGTACATTAACACATATTTTCATTTTTTATATTAACAGTTGAATTAGAGAGTTATCAACTTGAAATATATTTCTATTACTCAGATAACAGTGAATGAACTCATAAAATTCTTAAATACTATAATATTGTGTAATTCATGATTTTGCTAGGTCTTACAGGTGAAAAAGCCAGAAATGCTTAATTTTACATGTTTATTTATATTTGATTTTAACAGACTATCTTGATAAATTGAGTGTTTTTATATATGATTTCTATTATCTTGAGAGAAAGTGTTAACTGTTACAGTTATTACGGTTAGTAATCTTACTAGATCATGTGACTTATCACTATATTAAGCTCTTTATAGATAGATCTATTAATATAATCTTTAACTATTCTACAGATTATATATTCTGACTTATTAATTCTTTTATTATATAACTTCTTACAAGCTAGTAACTTTTTTAATTAAGTAAGCTTTACATCTTTCATATACTACATTAATATTAACTTTTTACATGTAAGTTTTAAGAGTTTATAAAGGCAATTGAACATGCTCTGAAACAGTAAATACTTTTTCAATATTTTATTATGAAAATTCAAATTTTGTATTAAAATTTTGATCTGTTTTTCAGATTTGAGAAAATTAGCTGTTTTTATGAAAAAATATTATATTTATTATATTATTTAAGTATTTTTAATCTTTCTATTTCATGCTCATATCTAAGCTACTGATGAAGATATTAAAGAAAGCAATGTTTATATCTATTATATATAATTCTCACATAAAAATACATTCTTTTATTATTATACTGCTTTAATTGTTATGATGTGATGCACTCACATCAGATGTAAGTGTGTAAAAGCATGATTAAACTATAATAAGAGAGTCAAAGAAGAGAAAAGAGAAAAAGCTTATGACAATCACACACACTGATCTTATTTCATGTGACATTATTAATTCCTTCTCATTTTCAGTTTCATTTTCATTTCCTTTCATTCTTCATATATTCAAGGAAAGTTTTTTTTCCCTTCATTCCTGTCTTTCCCGCTGCTTGTTAAAATAGGTCTGGTATTTCGCCGAAAAGAAAGTATGGAAAATATGAAACTAAAGAAGAGGGAAAGAACAGAAAAAAATACATTCAAAAAGAAAATAAGGAAAAAAAGATGCAAAATCATATATGCAGTCAAATGCCTAGATGAAAACAATAGATCATACAGATAGTGTATGTATGTAAGAGTAGTAATATAATTAAACAGTATATAGATAAAGCAAGAAGAAGTTATCAAAGAACTCACTCTTAAGGAAAGAAGAGTTGGAAAAAAAAGAGAGAGAAAAGGAAAAACTGAAACTGCCTCTCAGAGACTGCGAGAATAGGATATATAGAAGAAAAAATGAGGTAAAAACTGTTAGAAAATTGAATCGTACAAGTAGACAAACTGATACGTCATTGAGGGCAATGTAGGTTGAGTCTTGGGGAGAGATGGAGATTTCAGTGAGTGTTCTTAATGATTATCAAAGAACAAAAAGAAAAAGAAAACCAAAAATATACTAAAATGGAGAGGTGACAGGGGTGCCAAAAGGAAGGGGGGGAAATGGAAAGGGACAGAGAGACGAAATCATATGTACTTGTAGCTGTAAAATTAGTCGTCGGACCAAAGTGAGTAAAGGGGTCGTTGTTGGGTTGCCGTAGTGCTTGGAAGCTGTTCCTTTTCACTGGAAATATTCCTCATGACATATATACATATAAGGATTTATTCTTTTAAGCAGCGGTCCTCCCACCGCAGCTGGGGATTCTCAGACCGGGCTTCAAGTTGCGGCCGGGGTCCATGAGACCCCATTTATCTTCCCACTCTTTCCCAAGGTGGGGTTCGTTGTAAGACGCCTTCCAGGGCTCATCGAAAGCTTCGAACCTGTTTGTGTGGAGGAGAACCGTTAGACTATGTAATGGTCTACAGGATTTGTTTGCGGAGCAGAGACCTGCGGGAAAAACATGCAGGGAGGGGATAGGAGGATATGTGTAGGGAATAACGCTGATCTATAGCGGGAAGTGGGAGGAGGGGGGGGAGGGGGGAATATGAAATATGGAAATAAAGAAAATAAAGCTTACCAAAAGTAATCTGTCCCATTATCCAGACTCTGGCATACCCAAGTCTCCATGAACCTGTTCAACTCCTCTACGCCAGCAACGGAACCAGCAGTCTTCGTCTGGCACGGGTTGGGAGAGCAGTTGTTGCCTCCCCCGCTGGGCCAGCCGATTTCTGAAATGATGTGGTGTTTATCTGTGCCTCGCGTCAGGGCTACGTTTTGATCCTGCCAGAAACTCCATGCCCAACTTGCCGCTTCGTCGACCGCCACGCCTGCGAAGAATGGGTGCACATTCGCCATGACGACATCGGCTTCCTTGGCCAGTTCGGGGGTCCAGTTATCGCCCAGATCAGAGGTGGCAACGGGCATATCGGCGCCCATAGATTTCAGCTGGGACTTGACTTCCTGCATGTATTTTACCAGTGCGGTGGTGGTGGTTAGGGGTGAGTTGGAGTTTTTGCCGCGGTAAAGCACTTCGTTTCCGACGATGACACCCATGAAGACGGATTTGTTTTTGGTTTCTCGGACGATCTCGTACAGCTGCTCCATCTGGCGGTCGTTGGTGGTGGCATTATTATCAATCCAGACACCCAGCCAAAGCTTCATATCTTTCAGCTCCAGCCTCTGCATCGCGTGGAGAACCATCTGTGTCTGGTTGCAGTCTGTACCGTAAAGCCGTACGGTGTTCGTCAGCATGGAGAGAACCGCCATGTCGCGAGTGACGTTGTTTTGACTAGGAGGGTAAGTGAGGCATAGCGGGTATTGCGTGCCCCAGGGGGTATAATCCATGCCTGGAAAAACCTTGTACAAGCCCTCCATTGCCATTAGCTCCTTGATTTCCGGTGAATCTTTGTTAAGGTCCCCGTTCGTCGCCAGGTCGTCGTCGCTGGACTGTCCACCCCTGCCGCCCGAGTTTCTGTTTCGAGAACCCAAAATACCGCCAACTATGCCGCCCACGATCCCGATTACTACCAGCGCTATTATGATACCCACAATCCATTTCATTATTTTGTTCCCATGTTTCTGATTACTTAGCCATTCACTCTTCTCAGTAGAGACAGCATCATATTCGGGACCACCGTCAGGGCCACCCGTAGTCTGACCTTGAATACGTGCTGGGAGGCTTGCCAGAGCTCTTCCTGCAGCAGCTCCTGCAACAGCTCCTCCCGCACCCGCAGCGGGGAGACTGTTATGACTGGAGTTTTTACCAAGGCTTAGCATTGATCGTCGCTGAGGTTTTCGCATGAAACCATCGTCCCCGTCATCGATGATATCATTAGGGTTAATAGGTTCGGCATTTACAGGTCCCCACGAGTTATGATGAGACCTTTGGTAAGGGTCATCGTAGAATCCTCCAGCACCTCCATACTGGATATATTGTTGATGTCCATTATTGCTGTTCGAGTACAGGCTTCTTTGGCCTGGGGTAACTTGTCCAGTGCCATCCATGGAAGCACCTAAGCCGACATTTGACGAGTAAGGGTCTTGTCCGCCTGGAGATCGAGAAGAGCCCATTGGGGGCATGTCCTGCGGCGCAGAGGTGTAAGGATGATCTGAACCCATTGTATTTCCGTTCTCACCACGTTCAGACGATTCGTAGTAGTATTGGTTTTGCCCAATGCCATCATGTCCGCCTGGCATTGTGTCAAATCCGCGCTGGTGCTCGTTTGGCGAATGCGCTGTTCCGAGAGCGGTGCCCGCGATTCCGCCAGCAGCTGCTGCGGCACCCCAGCTGTCTCCTACTGGAGCGACTCTCGATGTAGTCTGTGAGGACTGTGTATATTCTGTGTCCCGTGAGGCTGCCGGTCTTCTCTGGGCGTGAGGAGGCGGCGTAGGGCTAGGGAAGTTATAGTGAACGGGAGAGACTGGGGACACTGGTGTTGTGTGGGAATCCTGATATCCGCCTGGTCGCTGTTTTCGGAGCTTGCTATAGGCACTATCTGGATGCGCGGCAGGGTGTAAACGAGCGGAGGATGGGGAAGCGTGTGGATTGTCGGCGTAGTAGGAAGGTTGAGACGAGGTCTGCGGCGACCCCCGGCTTCGAGCTATGGATCCGCCATGAGCATCGTAGCCAGCGTCAGCGTCATTGTGGTAACGGTAAGCCATGCGGAAGGCCTATGTTCTGGTTCACAGAGGCCAACGTTTAATACTCTTTCTTGTTTTGTGTTTAAGTACCAAGCGATAGTGTGCCCCGAAGACTGGAAAAGTTTCAGATTTCCCGTGGTAAGATTTGTTCGCCGACTGGGCCAAGTCCCCCCCATCCAGCGTTTCTCAGAATCTTCTCTGCCAGGCACGCCGCCACAGCAAGCAGAGAATGTGATACCGGGCCAGAGCCAGATGCAATTATGGGAGTGACAATGACGACGCAGAACGGCACTGTGTCAGTTGTGCGACTGGAGGAGAGGGAGGAAGATGGATGCGACCGATTATATTATTTATGACAGGAGCCCTGCTGCGGGGGGAATCGCTTCGGTTTGACTCTTTGACTTCTAAGCGGCGGCCCGGAATGGTCTCAGAATCTCAGACGAGGCTCCCACGCTAATTGAATTGTGACAGCTGCTGGAGTCAATCTTGGAACTCTCTCAGCGGCCAAACAGTGTGGCAAGAGGAGGTTTCTGGCAGCCAGAACGAGCGAAGGGAAAATGTCTCAGACCATTTGCGGGCACAAACGACAAGTATTACCCGAGTGAGAATGAAATCAGAAGAGAAATGGGATAATAGTAAGAATAATCTGATTACAAGAACATCGATTTCTGCCGACCGGGCTTCATCATTATTATAATTTATTTGAATCCGCGCACAAATTACGCTGCTTGGTGGTTGAGTCTTTGAGGGGGGGGGCTTGGGGGTTGCTAAAGGCTGCTAAATAGACTGCTAGGGCCATCCGAGAGTGTCTTAGATTCTTAGATCACGGTCGTCGACTTGCTGCAACTCTGTTGTCTCCTACAAGCGACAGGGGACAAGACACAAACGGGATTCATGACTAGGCTAGCGACGGGTAGACGAACTGGTCGAAACCCTCGCCGTGTAAACCAGATAGAAAGTAATAATAGAAGCCAAATGTTAGATATAAAGGGGACAGGGACAGGGACAGGACAGGGACGGGGGTTGGGGGGTGGTTGTGGATTGCGAGGCTGTGGTGAAATCAACCGATCTCGAGATGGATGTAACTAGAGGCTACGAGAACAACAGGTGGAAGCCTTTTTTGTTCGAAGAAGCCAAGTAAACTAACTATGGAGTTGTCAGAAACTGTCCACCTTGTCGATGGCATCCCCAGCTCTCCATAATCCGTTCAGTCCGGCTGTTCCATGCTCAGAGCCGGGGAGGATCTTGCTTCGAACATGACAACACAACATCGTGGGGTTCAGTTGATTATTTACTCCTTAGGGCTTAACTTCCAGGATGCCGTGGGCCGGACAACCAGCGAGCATACATATGGCAGCACACGGCAGCCAATTGCTTCTGGTTAAGAGACACTCCAGCCCCAGTGAGAAGGGGGATGGATGTGGCTACTTGCATGGATGAGGCCAGACGAGGGTAATATAAATAGAAGAAGACGCAGGTGGGGTGGGATTGGTTAGATATAACTACTATGTTTTGCATCTTACAACTTTGGTCATTATTACCTACCTAGGTAACTATAGTTACCGCCCTTCCCAATCTGGCCCATCCCCGGCAGAAAAATACAAAAAGATACCTCAGCAATAATATTGAGCACATAATCAACAGACACATCTGAAGTGCAACCTCCATGAAAACCCTGTCTGTCTTCGGTGTATCAAGACATCAACGCCAAGTCCCACTCATGTATCATCTGATCCAACCTGGCCTATCTTCAGCAGAAAGATACAAAAAGATACCTCAGTAACAGTATTTAATACATAATCAGCAGATAATAATATATTAACAACTATACAATCAGTATATCTCAAGATCTGACTGAGTCTTTGATCTCTGTATAGTGAGATATATTAAATCTAGTTTTAATATTTTCATAGTTAATAGATTCTGCAAGGAATTGAGAACAGTAATACTAGATTTCTATTAAATTTAAGAATTAACTTTATATTAATATAATTATTGACAAAGTCTTCTATTATTATTATTATTATTATTATTATTATTATTCTTTAATTATAGATATATACAGTCAGAGACTATAACATCTATCTGAGAACTTTTAGTTCTCAGAGTTTTTCCTATATTTATAAAGTTAACTATTATATATTCATTAATTTTAGATATATAAAATCAGAAAATTTCAGCTCAGAATATAAAAACTATTTATAAATTACATTATTTTATCATCTTCTGATACTTTGAAATAATTTAACAATATTATGACAAAAGAAAAAAGAACACAGTCTTAAAGATAGACATATTAAATAGATAGATAGAAAATAATAGAAAGAAAAAAGTAAAGTAAGAAAAGACTATAATAAAACAAATTATTAAAATATAGTATATAACTGTTTTAACAGACTATATCTGATCAATTTTCCTGTCTTCATATTCAGATATTTTTGAATTTAGCTGTTTTCTTATAGCTGCTTGAGTTTCTGATAGAAAGTCTATTAAGTATTTAATTTCTGTCTTAGTTGAAAATAAGAATCTCATATTTAATTGATTTAGATCATACTTCTCTTTTAATCTGACTTTGAGACTATTGTATAATGCACAGTGTATTACAATATACTCAGAATTCTTATTTATATTACAGAATGAGTATTCTATTGAATTAAATCTATCATCAAATCTTTATATATAAGATTTGAAATAGTCATATTCTAGTTTCAGCTGTATTATAGATGAGAATATTTTCTTTGTATATTTAATTAAACAAGATTTTTACTTGAGTTTTATTTTAAATCTTGAATAATGTATACTCTTCTTTTATTTCTGCCAGCTTTTATTTCACTTATTAAAACAAGATTCTTTTATCTTTCTGTTCATAAAAGATCAGAATATAATTTTTTTAAATAGATCTGCTTAATTCTGAACTCTTTTTTACAGCTGAATCAGATAATTCATTATCATAAATATTCATATAAGCAGAAACTCAGTGTAGATAAATTATCAGTTTTGATATTCTTCTCTTTTGAATTTTCAAAACAGAGTTTAAAATCAGTTCAAGATTCATTTGATCATTATGAATCTGACTATTTCTAAGTCTTTTTAAAGCAGCTTGACTATCAGAGAATATTCATGTCTCTTTCAAATCATTTCCTCTTTTATAAGATTTTATTTCAATGAGTTTGAAAGCTTTCACTATTGTAAATAGTTCAGCATCAAAGACTTCAGATTCACAGCCTAAATTTCAGAAATCTGAGATAAAATTAATATTATCTTCAGTATAAGCAATGCCTGCGCCTAATCTATTCAAATTCTCATTTTTTGAGCCATCTGAGTAGATCAGAATAGAGTCTTTTATATTAATTATAGAGATCTTCTTCAAATGCTGTTCATATTCTCTCTCTTTAGATAGTTCACTTATTTGTAAGTCTATGAGAGATTTCAGCTTTTCTCTTCAGAGAGATATCTTCTCATGATCAATTTTCTCAACATTTAATGAAGAAAATTGATTCTTAATAAGTGAACATAGTCTATACAGTTGAGAGAGCATTTTCTTTAAAGTATTATTCTCATTTCAATCAAGAAATCTATTTCAATTCAGTTCATTTCCTGAGTTATCTGATGGAAATGAAGAAGAGACTCTTTCTCTGATTATATGATTTAAGCTTATCTTTATGACTCTCAGAGTATAGTTCATACAGGTCTTTTCAAATCGAATAGCAGAAGATGGAATTAAAGCTTCAATTTTCATTGCTTTAATAGAAGATGACTTAAATGCACTCAGAATTCTTCTCAAAGCTCTGTTTTGTAGACTTTGAAAGAGTTCAGTGAAGTTTTCTTGATTGTTTCATCAAACTTGAACTTCATAATCAGCTACTGAGATAATACAGGCTATGTATAACTGTCTCATAGCCTGAAAGAATAGATCTCTCTCAGTATTTGATAGTCTGATTATACTATTCAGTAGTCTCTCTGCCTTGATGATTCTTTATTGAATATGATATTTAAAATTCAGCTTGAAGTTTAACTATACTCCTAGTCATTTGACATTTAAACCGGGTTTAATCTCTTTATTCAAAAGTGTTAGACTTAGTTCTTTCTCATTAAATCTGAGAAAAAAGTGAATTAACTCAGTTTTATTCATATCAAATTGAATTAGATTGATATCTGCTCTAACAAAGATTTTCTTTACTGCTTTCTTAATCACTTCTAAGTTCTCTTTGATTGTCTTTGAACTGTAGAGTAGATCAATATCATCTACATAACTTGAAGATCTCACTATTTTCATCTCTCTATTCTTGAATAGATATGCAGTGTATATTGTAAATAAAACAGGTGAGATTGAAGATTCTTGTGATACTTCTATTTTTATCTCAGTTTTATCTTGTTTTCTTCCATCAAAGAATAGTTGTATAATTCTTTTAGACATGAAACAATTGACTCATTTTATTAGAGAAAGTGACAGTTTTAACATCTTCAAAGTTTGAATCATCTTAGACTTTGACACATGATCAAATGCACCTTTTATATCAATAAAAACTGCAGTTGAGACCAGGCCTTCATGCTTTGCTACTTGAATATTATGAATAACTGAGAGAATAGTATCAATTGCAGAACATTGTTTTCTACCTCTCATTTGTTCATTAAATAGAAGAGAATCACTAATAGAGCTTATAAAAGATAATCTAGTAGTTATTATCTTTTCTAGAATTTTTCTCAAACAGTTCAACAGAGATATTACTCTATATGACTTAGGAATTAAAGTCTTTCTATTAGGTTTTGCAAGGATTACTTCAGTAGCTTCTCTCCAGCATTCAGAATGATAATCATTTTTTAAGAGATTGAAAAAGAGCTCAAAATATTCATTCTTCAAGTAGGAATATGTGTTTTGAATAATTGAGTGATTAATTGAATCAGGCTCTGCAGTAGTTTTAATTGAACTTGAGAATATTGCTGACTCTAGTTCATCATATGTAAGCTCAGATCATTCCCAGTTATTTTCATCAATATATTCATGAAATGACATATTCTCCTCTTCTAAATGTGATGATGAGTTTTGAAAGAGAATTCTCATAAAAGCTTGACATTTTTTCTCAAAAGAATTTGCTGTATATAATTCATTCTGAAATTTATATTCTAAGGTTGAAAGCTTTGCTACACTTCTTGTTTTAGTATAGTTGAAGGCTTTGAAAACTTCTTTTCCTTATGCTTCTTCAAGAAATTTGTTTCAGCAATCTGTTTTGGCTTTTTTAATATCTGAAAAATATTCATTTTGAATAGTTTTGAACTTTTTATCAGATATTAAGTGATTCTTTCAATCTCTCTTAGCAGTGGCTAATTACTTTCTTTTAGAAGTGATATTCTCATTTCATCAAGGTTTGAAATACTCAGAAGACTTTTTCTTTGAAATATTTTCTTTAATACTTGTTAGAAGAATAGATGAAATCAGCTTTGCTCTATTCTCAAGCATTTCATTTGATATATCTTGACTTTGATTTCAATAGAGCTCATTCTGTCTTTCAGATTTCAGCTGTTTTACTCTTTCTTCAACTGCTTTTCAATCAGCTTTTTCAAAGTTATACTGATTAGAGAGAAGAGAATTTTCACTTCTTTGTTTTTCACTCAGTTCAATATCAAATTGAATGATTTCATGACCTGATTCTGAGATTTTATTTAAATTAATAAACCAGTTTATAAGTCTTTTTTCAATTAGATTTTGTGACATGAAAGTTAGATCTATAATAGATTTCTGTTTCATGTCTTTTCTAAAGAATGTTTGTTGATCAGACTTGTTAACTAAATCTATTGAATGCTCAAAAGTTCATTCAACCAGTTTATCTGCTCTTACTGCTCTTGTGCACTCTGAGTTTCATCAGGGATGATGTGCATTGAAGTCTCCTGCAATTATAGAGTTTTTTAAGAGAGTTATATTCAAAAATCCTCTATCAATTGTTCAGGTATTGTTGTTTTCTTTCAATGATTTTTCATTATAGATATTTATAAGTTAAATAGTATCAAACTCATTATCTTTATCTATAATGTCACTCACTAGAATGTCAGAGTCAGATATGATATCAAATCTCAGATTAAATTAATACCTTGATCTTTTTCTCTCATAGATTGCTACTGTTGATTTTATCTCAGATTTTTCAGGAAGAAAGCAGTAATAGCTTGAATGAGAAATGATGTACTTTTGCTCAGTATCAAAATTTGGTTCTTGAAGAAGTACAAAGTCAACTTTTTGTTCAAATGCAATCTGAAGACAAGAATAAATGCAATTTGAGTTTCTATCCACATTATTTTGAATAAATGTGATTTTTGAAGAGTTTTTAAACTTTTTTTGTTGTTTTTGTTGTACATTCATACTAAAAGAGAGTGAAGATATAGTAGAATCTAATCACTCTCATCAGATAGTAGATTATAACTATTTTGAAAAGCAGGAATCTCAACTGCTTGCATTCTATTTAGTTTATTATCAGAGTCATTTCTCAATTCTCTAATCTTA